TTCAATCAGCCCCTTCATATCCAACAATTTTTGTTTTAAACATTTTTTTATTTAATCACGATGTTTCGAGTTATTTGGTTGTCTAAGTTAAAATGGGTCACCCTGTATATATTACCGGGTAATCGATCACGAGCAGTTAGAACGGACCGAATTGAATCGAAAATTCTTATACCATTTTGAAGGTTGCGCAATAGTTAACGAGATATTAACGTTTAAAGTCGAATAAGCGCGTCCGGCCGGCCTACTGCTGCCGAATATACAACCATAGAGATCTCTATGTATACAACCTACCGTCCCCACCGATAGCACGACGCGCGGGCCGCTGGGAGTGGGGATGGCTTGCTACTCTTGCTAGGCGTACCCTTAGAACATATATAAATGGAAAGGGCATATGGTTACTGCACACTGGATGCGATGAGCGATGAGCGACGAGCGATATCCAATGAGAGCTTTACTTTGCGTCGTCACGTGAGAAAAAGCAGAGTTTTTATTGGATATCGTTCGTCGCTCATCGCTCATCGCGTCCAGTGTGCAGTAGCCAATAGGGCGCTGAACGTGAAGCCACATCTGTGCAAGAGAGAAAAGTAGTAAGGGATAAATGTTCGCAATGCGCATGCGCAGCACCGTCATCTGTGTGAATTGTACAGTTGGTTAGTCAAGTTTAGTGTTTTTACCATATATGTAATACTACTATATGGCTAATGGGGCGTGGTTTATATGAGTGCGACAAGAAGAAACATAGAAGGATAGTAGATGTTCAATCCGTTCAAATGCGCAAGCGCCGCGTTAAATTCAACAGCTTTATTAAGCAAAATTAGTTACTTTGTATTTAATATAAAACAAGATGTTAGCAATAGTTTATTACTCTCTAATAGCGTTTTCGATTGGGCAAAAGTTAGTGCGCACTAGTGCGCACTCAGTTCACACCAATACTGGACGAGTTCCATGGGTTGCACTGAATAGTGCAAGAGTTCAAAAGAATACGCCAAGATTTTCAGTGCTAAAGCTGAAACTCATTTTTGTTCACTTTGAAG